TACATCTAAATTCGTTATTTCGATTCGATGAGATTGTATGGTAATGCACTCATGTAACTTTATATTTATTCAACTGCTAAATCTCATAATTAAGAGATCCAGGATGAACAGAGTTGCCCCAATTGTCAGCAGGAGCGAGACAGTACTGTTTCGACCCACCAGGTCTCATCAGCCGCTCTCGGTCTGTTGAAACCACAGAACTCATAATGTGGTCACAGAATACCCATTGAGTATTCTGTGCCCCTAACAACACAGGGATGTCCTAGGTACGTCCCTTTTTTGTCCCGCGGTACAAGGACATGATTGGGACATCCAGGGGATGTCCTGCAGTGGTTGTCCAGTGGACATCCCGCCCGGTACATCCCTAGGTTATCCTATTCGTGTCCCTGGAGTATCTGATATCCATTCACATCAGAGTCATTGAATTTCATCAAACTATTGAGTTGAATTTTTTTGAAAATGTTTGTTTCTCTTCCGCAAATTGATTGTAATGAAAATAAAGAATAAAGTCTCAGAACTTCTTAAGAAATTTTACCATTTTTCGCAGACAGAAATCGTACATGCATAATGCCCCTCATTTTTAAATACCCAAGAATGATAATCATTATACCCAATTCCTAATAAAGTTGTATTTATTCAGGTTTCTGTAGTTAAGTTCTGTTTATAAATCTTCAGGAGGCATGATAGCCAATGGAGCAAGGTGCGTGCGTGATAAAAGCCAAAGGTCCCGGGTTCAATCCCTACTCGCGACCTGCAACTTCTTTTCTTTTCTCGAAATGATGTCTCTGGGATATCCTTGGGACGTCCTAGGGATATCCTTTCATCGTACTTCGTACATCCAAGGGACGTATACCAGAAGGACATCCCTTGGATGCCTTTTTTAGCGGCCAGCGGATGTCCCTGGGACATCCCTAGTATGTACGTTGTCCCGACAAAGGACATCCCTGGGATGTCCTAGTATAAAATCAGGGACGTCCATGGGAAGTCCCTAGGATGTACTGGTGTTGTTAGGGTGATATGGGTGTAACTTGTAACGCGACCAGTCAACCACAGCAACATGAAACAAAAAAAGATATACCGCATTCACATTACCCGTCATGGTTGAAGCTTAAAGCTGATAATCTCATTTCATTGTGTTTAACCGTAACGTCATTTCTGTTTGGGTACACCTCCCCCACCTGCCCTAGGGGTTACCAACTCCCTAGTTGGTGAAGGTGGTGAAAGTTACACTTATTGAATATTTGTTTACAATTGATGAATGTGAAAAATAGAGGATATAATAGAAACATACAAATCAAAAATGGATGGAGCATGGAGCGGATATTGAAGTGGAGATACACGGGTATAAACTGTGGTAGTGGGTAAAGTGAAAGAAAACGGATTTCAAAAATAGTCGATGTTGACGTAGTTGCCTCCCACCACCTTTCCCGAAATACTCTAACCGGGGATGTGATGATTAGAGTCCCTGTATATACCTTCAAGAGTTTTTCATCTTTGGACAGGTAGCATGAATGCCGATTTTTATCATTAAGATTATCGATGCATATATCAGCAACAGGAAAATCCGGGTCAAGGTCAACGAAAGTATATCAGGAGATTTTCCACTCGAGGCAGGTGTTCCGCAGGGGTCGTGCCTTTCACCTCTGTTATATACCCTATACACACATGATTTCCCTGTATTCGAGCGGACGAGTACAGCATTGTATGCCGACGATACGGCAATATATGCTCACTCGGACGACTCGAATATCGCCAGGGCACAGATCCAGATTCATCTGGACAGGGGAATCATACCGTACTTTGACGAGTCAAAGATCTGCATAAACAGCGCAAAGACTGAGGTCATCAATTTCCACAAAAAAGTCAACAACTCCCGACTGAGCAGACCTTTGACCGTGAAAGGGGTTGAGGTGGCAGACACGACCACCGTGAAATACCTGGGAGTCAAATTGGACACCCGTATGAGTCTGAGAAAGAATACAAACTACCTCATCCAGAAAACCCATAATGCCATCAAAAAGATGTACCCCTTGATATCCAGGACCTCAGCTCTCTCGCAGGAGAATAAGGTCCTGGTATACAAGCAGGTCATTAGGCCAGTGATGACATACGCGTGTCCAGTGTTCTGCAGCATCTCACCTACTCATATGAATAGGTTACAGGTGCTGCAGAATAAAGTACTCCGTATTATCACTAATGGTGATAGATACTCTCGGGTGGCAGATCTCCACGAGAGATGTGGTAATTTGCCGAGAATCGACGAATACATCTTGAAAATCTCTAATAGATTTTACAAATACCACATCGCTGGAAGTGACCTTACCCGGAATATGACAACAGTCAGACAACACCATAACATCCATAAAAAACACGGACTGATATATGCATCAACCGATGTTTTTAGGGAGCCTGATAATCTATAGTCGGGAACATCCCCGGGTGCTCGGACATGTCCGAGCCACCGAGGAGACTCTAGACAGCACTATATATCTCCCAAGCACGAAAATAACATAGTGTCGTAAAAGACACTGAACTCGGTCAGAAGTGCCCATGTGGAAACGCATGCGCACAACTGCCCGAGACAACCAAGAAGGAGGTTTTTTATTTTATTTTAATTTTATTTTTCCTCCAACGACTCAGCAACCCTTTCCACTCTGATCGCGCACGAGCAGCTCCCCCACCCTATGGGTACCACCAGCGAGATTACCTGTATAAAGGGCCTAGCCCTAGGAGATAGGTCACTGCGACGAACACCTCACATATCCTCTCATATTCCTTGGCTAACACCAGCCACCTCTGCGACTGCGGAGGGACGTTCAGTCATACTCACAGATATGTCAAGCCCATTATACACAAATATGTTGATGTTATATGTGTTGTATTGTAAAAACTGTGTCAACGAATAAATGAATTTAAGTTTTTTTTTTTTTTTGATAAGCCAAAGGTCCCGGGTTCAATCCCTACTCGCGACCTGCAACTTCTTTTCTTTTCTCGAAATGATGTCTCTGGGATATCCTTGGGACGTCCTAGGGATATCCTTTCATCGTACTTCGTACATCCAAGGGACGTATACCAGAAGGACATCCCTTGGATGCCTTTTTTAGCGGCCAGCGGATGTCCCTGGGACATCCCTAGTATGTACGTTGTCCCGACAAAGGACATCCCTGGGATGTCCTAGTATAAAATCAGGGACGTCCATGGGAAGTCCCTAGGATGTACTGGTTTTGTTAGGGTGATATGGGTGTAACTTGTAACGCGACCAGTCAACCACAGCAACATGAAACAAAAAAAGATATACCGCATTCACATTACCCGTCATGGTTGAAGCTTAAAGCTGATAATCTCATTTCATTGTGTTTAACCGTGACGTCATTTCTGTTTGGGTACACCTCCCCCACCTGCCCTAGGGGTTACCAACTCCCTAGTTGGTGAAGGTGGTGAAAGTTACACTTATTGAATATTTGTTTACAATTGATGAATGTGAAAAATAGAGGATATAATAGAAACATACAAATCAAAAATGGATGGAGCATGGAGCGGATATTGAAGTGGAGATACACGGGTATAAACTGTGGTAGTGGGTAAAGTGAAAGAAAACGGATTTCAAAAATAGTGGATGTTGACGTAGTTGCCTCCCACCACCTTTCCCGAAATACTCTAACCGGGGATGTGATGATTAGAGTCCCTGTATATACCTTCAAGAGTTTTTCATCTTTGGACAGGTAGCATGAATTCAATCTGACCTGAAATGAAGCTCCTGGAGAAGCAAAGAGACAGGGTGCACCAAATAATCTATGCGGATTGTGAATCACTATTGGCCCCAACAGTAAATGCCTTCACAGTATATTTTTTTGGATTAACCACTTTGTAAAATAAAGGAAGCCTCGAAGGAAACAATCCTCACCACGGATTATTTTTGTTGAGGGATTTCTTGTATGACATCCTATTGTGATTGCACGTTCCTTCATTTCAGGTCAGAATCGGTGAGATTGAATAGAGCAGTTCAGCTACCGTTGAGAGAGAAAAAAAATGTCTTCCCATCTGTCCTTGTCTTCAGTGTTCCAACATGAAATAATGAAAATCTTATGTTGCCAACACTGGAAATGAGAAGAAATGGAGAAGAAGACCGTTCTAACCTTCTTTTATATCGAGGTTAATATGATATTCTTCTCCATTTTTTCCCATTTCCAATGATGCCAACATAATATTTTCATTACTTTATGTTGGAACACTGAAGACAAGGACAGATGGGGAAGAAGAGAAGACATTTTTTTCTCTCTCAACGGTAGCTGAACTGCTCTAGTGCATTCAGGAACAGTGTAAAGGGGGATTTCCTGATGCAGCTCTCTTTTGCTTTTCGAGACACGCAGTCTGATTGGTGACGCGTGAATCAGAATTGCTGCACTCTGTTTTTCATTATTTTCTCCAGTTCCCAATGAAATTACTTGACATTGTCGATTTGGTTGAAGTTTGCATTAAAAGATCATGCGAATATCTGAGAATACTGAAAATATAGTTCAATGCTTCCAAAATATACAGTGCTCAGAGCTGCATCACATATATGTATTTCTTCAAAAAACGAAAACAGCACAGTCAGATAATCAGGTAGGTACCGTAGGTACCTACTTCAGTGATACTGCAATGATTCACTGATCACTCTCAGAAATGAAGGTTCGATGAAGTTGCATTCAAAATTTCTATATTTTCATGAAAAATCTTGATGAGTTGAAAGAATTTATCATGCTTTAATGCTCTTAAGGTTACTGGAACCACCACACAACACAGAGCAGCAACGCCAAAAAGTTAAAATATTTTAACTTCATCGCATCAAATATTCTTCAAATTCAGCGACAGCACCAATCAGGTTGCATGACGCGCGACGCGTAAAGCAAAAACGCTGCTTTGGGAACTCACCTTGACATAACATAAAATGACACTTTAGGTGAGACACCCAGTACCCAGCGAACTTATGTCTTTTTGACTTTTTGACACCAAACTTCAAAACTGAGTTTATCATCAATCAGATGCAATAAATTTAAAATATCTCAAATCCTGTTCAGAAATCCTGTGAACTGTTGCTAAATTGTGGACTGAATAATCAACGAAGTATGAATTTGTTTGGGTGCTTTATCAGAATAATGATTTTTCACATAACTTTGTGATTTGTAAAGACAATGTTGATAAACCTCACATTCATGTTTTTAGATCATGGATCCAAGTAATGAAGCAAGGAAACGTTGCCTCATATTCAATATAATCCATTTTTTACAAGAGGAATTGATCAATGGCAATCTCAATGATGAAAGGAAAGAATCAGTGGAAGTTGCAATACAGTGCCTTGAAACAGCATTCGAACTGGATGGTGATGTGAAATCAAAGCTGGAAAAAGAAAAAGTGAATCTACTCTCAGCAATACCTGATGAGAAAAAGGTGAGAACAGTTAACAAAAAACTGAAACCTAATTATTAATCCTATGATCTGTAGTCTCATCTGAAGTAGATGTCCATTATATTAGCTGAAAGTAAAATGGTTTTTTACCTAACTTAGGAAATAGATGATTGTTAAATTCAATTAGCTTTCACCACCCATTATTCTTCAGTTTGTGTGAATTTTAGTCCTGCATGAATCCACCACAAGTCTCCACTTTTTTGTTTGTGCTTTCATTCATATTCCTACACTCAAAGGTAGGAGTAATAACTTGTGGATTGAAGATGTTTTTATTCTATTTTCATTAGCTTTTGCAAATGCTTCAATAAATGTCAAAGGACCTAATTTCAGCTTGCTAATCTCTTAAAAAAGGGAGAAGAAATGATTCATAATTTATTTAGTGAATAGTTACATTTCAGTGATATCTTTGAAAACTGTATTCACTTATTATGTATTTTGGACAGTATGGAACAAAAATGCAACATTGAAATTTTCCATGGACCAGACATTGAAATAGTTGCAATAGGGCCATTTGAATGGGATATCAAAATATCATGGCTGTATTTGAAAAAATGAAGTTGAAAGCATCAAAAGTTGATATGAAAATGTTTCTTTTAGTTTTGTCATAGCTTCACTATCAATGTCAGAAAAAAATAAAATTGAAAATCCAAAAATTCAGTTTTTTGTAAATACCTTGATACTGGCTCTCCTTTTCTTGGGCACAGTGTATAATGTAAAATGTTAACCATTCTAGAAAATGAACTCTGCCCATCAGTAAACCAAGTAAAAACAGTTTCTTATGACTGCTATTGGTCCTGAGAATGATTCTGGATAAAACTTGAATTTCAAATTATTCATTGTTTATTATTGTTTCCACATGACACTGTATTCACTATTTTTCACCTTACAAAAAATTCTGTTTAGGTTGAGCCAAATGCAGACCAATTGAAAGAGGCTGAAGATTGCAAGAATAAAGGAAATTCCCATATGAAAAATGCTTCTTATGATGAAGCTTTAGCAGAATATTCAAGGTTAGTGTAAGATGTCATTATTCCAGAAAAGTAAATGATCAATTCAATTCTGCAGGAAAACAGCAGCTTCATACTGAATGGGTAGAAATAAGTCACTGATAATTTAATTATACTAAATAAATGTTTCAGGGCAATACAATTGAATCCACAAAACTCAGTATACTACTGCAACCGTGCTGCAGCCTACAGTAGACTTGAAAGACATTCAGATGCAATTGAAGACTGCCTAGATGCAATAAACTTGGACCCCACATATGGAAAAGCATATGGCCGCCTTGGTATTGCCTATTCTAACCTGAATAAATTTGAGGAAGCCCGTGGAGCATATTTGAACGCTCTCAAACATGATCCAGGAAATGCCATGTATGAAACTAATTTGAGATTGGCTGAGGAAAAGTTGTTCTCCAATATGGGTAGGTCACGGATCATTATTTTAAGCAAAAATAAATTGTTCTGGGAATACATAAGTTATCAGAAGTACATCTAAAGTCATATCCCATCACAATTTTAGTGATATAGACTGATTGAATAATGAAGGTTGAAGGAATTACTCACAATAATCACAATCACTGAATAATTTACATTTACATGGTGCACAAGATTATGTCACTTCTCGAGAAACCAGAAGCTTCACAATAACGAAAATATCTTAGTTGGATTCTCCATGTTTTCTTCAATGTCCCTACCAATTTTCAGAATCATGCTACTTTCAGTTCTCCATACATAGATCATGTTAACACATAGACATATGTATATGGCATTGTTATGAAACAAAACAATGCTTGTCATCTTCTATTCTGAATTTTCCTCATTGTTGGCAAATATTTTTATGCAATTGATATCCAGGTTGTCAAGACAAAGTTACTGAACTTGTTTTTTTTTTTTCAGAAAGTGCTGCTCCTCCAGAACACACACCCCTAGATATATCACAGTTTATCAATAATCCAAATTTGATAAATATGGCAACACAAATGTTGGGCGACTCCAATTTCCGTAGCTTGTATGTATGATTAAATTGCATTGGTTTTGTGGATGTTCTGTTTCACTAATTTTTGTATTTTATTTTCAGAATGTCCAGGTTCATGTCAATGAGTCAGTCTGGTGATCCAAACCTTGATGCCTTGTTTCAAGCGTGAGTGATCTGTGATTTTGTTTTATCATAAATAACACCTCAGAAAATCATAACAGATGTATTCTGTACTTCTTTGAATATTTATTGGAACATTGAAATTAAATTGATAGTCATTTCCTCTAGCATTTACTTTGTTCTCTATATATAGAAATATTAGTATTATTTCAATATACTATGTGTAGTAAGGACAGATCAAATGATTTGCCCCAAAATTTCAGTCGGAAATTTGAGAGAGAAATCAGTAATCAGTGACACCTTGGCTGAAAAGGTTTTGTAGAAGAAGAATATAGGTATATTGAAAAATATAAAATTTCACTTATCTTTGGACACCAATCTCAGGAGTTATTTTGAATTTCAATGTTCAAATATAAATGAAATTATATATTTGGTCTTTAGTACAGAGCTGGCCAGTATTTTTATTTAAAAATAATTTCTAGTATTTCAATAGTGTTCAGTATCTATGGTAAACTATTTTTCCTACGACCAAACCACAAATTCATCAAAACATGCCTATGGTTGTTGAACAATCTAAAATATCTTGTGCAATGTGTGTTGTTCACCTATACAGGGTGGGGCATTTGTGCGTCGGAGCTCGATTGCTCGACATCTATGATAGCTAGAAACCTGATTCAAAAACGAATGTGAATGAGACAACAAGGTCCATAACTAGAAATTATTGCCGCATATACAGGGCACACCAAAAATAATCTAGAGGGTCGGGATCATTTTTTTTAAATGGGATGCCCTGTATATTTGCATATTTTTTGAAGCATCCCTGTGACCTTCATCCACTCCTATGATATCGTTGACTATATCTCGTTCATATCAAAGTTATGAATTTTTTTGTCAAAATAATGTCATCTGCAGATGCCTACCGAAAATATCACTGTTGTCACAATTATAAAATTTAAGAAAAAATAATCTCAATATCATTTATTGAAAAGATGAGTGACATTTCTGAAAATTATTCAGGCCCTCAAATGATACAGGGTGGCTGAAAATGATTTTTCAATTCGTAACTTTTCGAAGTGATTTTTCACGAGTTTTTCAAATGGAACACCCCATATATTTTTCTACCACTCGATGTAAAATCGAAACACTAACATATTTATCTGAACATCCATATCAATATTCATAACCATTTTTGAATTATTGACCTTTGAAAATTATAGGTTGGCGATTTTGATCGATTCAGATTCTCATACGTCTCTACTTTGTAAATATTTAGCATAATTATGACCTATTCATGTCTGCTTTGGTTCTGACATCGATTCTTTCAATAAAAAATTGGTTTACTAAATTGTTGATTGAACTTTTGATGTTTCAATAACAGATTAGAATGTGTATCGATGAAAATAGCCAACCTAAAATTTTCAAAGTTCAAAAATTCAAAAATGGTTGCGAATATCGATATGGATGTTCGGATAAATATGTTCGTGTTTCGATTTTACATCAAATGGTCAAATAATATATGGGGTGTTCCATTTGAAAAACTCGAGAAAAATCACTTCGAAAAGTTCCGAATTGAAAAATCATTTTCAGCCACCCTGTATCATTTGAGAGCCTGAAACATTTTCAGAAATGTCACTCATCTTTTCAATAAATGATATTGAGATTATTTTTTCTTAAAGTTTATAATTCTGACAGCAGTGATATTTTCGCTAGGCATCTGCAGATGACATTATTTCGACCAAAAAATTCATAACTTTGATACGAAAGAGATATAGTCAACGATATTATAGGAGTGGATGAAGATCACAGGGATGCTTCAAAAAATATGCAAATATACTGGGCATTCCTATTAAAAAAATTGATCCCGACCCTCTAGATTATTTTCGGTGCGCCCTGTATATGCGGCAATAATTTCTAGTTATGGACCTTGTTATCTCATTCACATTCGTTTTTGAATCAGGTTTCTAGTTATCATAGAACTCGAGCAATCGAGCTCCGACGCACTAATGCCCCACCCTGTATATCAGGACATTATCATTCAACAATGTGAATAATCATTGTTTTGTTATATTGGGGAGGAGGGGTTCAGTGCAGGTCTGGGCAGTATTTTTATTCACAAATAGTTCCTAGTATTCGAATACTTTTCCGTATCTTATTACTTTCTGGCACTTCTCAATACTTGTCGAAATATGCAATAACCAGCAAAAGAAAACCAGACAGAAGAAAATTTTGCCAAATTAATCGCCCTGTAACTTTTAATTCTTGTCCGATTTTAATAAAATTTCGATTTTGGAATATTGAGTTGAAATTTAGTTACTACTACAAAAGTTACTTTTGCCCCCTTAACTTCTCAACGCGCGGTGGCAAAAAGGAGTTGCTTACCTTAGCTTCCTCATATTTTGGATTGAAGTATGATCTTTTCTTAACACAGTGGTTTTTCATTCATGTCAATATATATTTTTTAAGAGAATATACAGGGTGTTTCAGAAAAGGTGACCTCCTTGCTAGGTTAGGTAGAACACTGCAAAATAAGTTGGGTTTGCTCAGTAAAAAAATGCTGTAATGGCATCCGTTTTCAAGATACAAGGTGTTGTGTTGTTTTCATATCTGACTCTCATAGAGGGCGCTAATAACACGGTTTGTATCGAGTAGTTTTAAACTAATAACATTTTTAAGGATAGATTTTTTACTCCAAATTCAATGTGTACTTGAATATCATTCAGTTTTGTACAAAAAGTTGATACAGGGTGGGCCACCAGTTACGCCTCGGTCTCTAGAAGGCTAACCACTTATCTTCTTGGAATTCTTCCTCTCTAGGAAGTTGCATGTCAACATAGGCTACCATTTAAAATTATTTCGAAACATACAGGGTGTCCCCAAAAACCATAAAACACTGAAGTTAAACTTTTTTCTATCGAACACCCTATATATTATTTCATTTTGAGATTCTCCCTGATGAGCTGATTTCAACGACCCATCATACTTGGGGTCTAGCAGTTATAATTACTGAAATATAGGGTGTGAAAAATCGAGATTTTCCAAGTTCAAGAATTTTTTGTGTAGAAACTATTCATAATTGGTCAAAACGGCTTACATGTCCCTATCTCAACTTTTGATTAACTATCTACTGATATTTAATTGGGACATATACCGGGTGATCAAGATTCTGAATTCTGCACCACCCTGTGCACCACTTATCTTCTTGGAATTCTTCCTCTCTAGGAAGTTGCATGTCAACATAGGCTACCATTTAAAATTATTTCGAAACATACAGGGTGTCCCCAAAAACCATAAAACACTGAAGTTAAACTTTTTTCTATCGAACACCCTATATATTATTTCATTTTGAGATTCTCCCTGATGAGCTGATTTCAACGACCCATCATACTTGGGGTCTAGCAGTTATAATTACTGAAATATAGGGTGTGAAAAATCGAGATTTTCCAAGTTCAAGAATTTTTTGTGTCGAAACTATTCATAATTGGTCAAACCGGCCCACATGTCCCTATCTCAACTTTTGATTAACTATCTACTGATATATACCGGGTGATCAAGATTCTGAATTCTGCACCACCCTGTATTTGTTTCAATTAAATGTCAGTAGATAGTTGATCAAAAGTTGAGATAGGGACATGTGAGCCGTTTTGACCAATTATGAATGGTTTAGACACAAAAAATTCTTGAACTTGGAAAATCTCGATTTTTCAAACCCTATATTTCAGTAATTATAACTGTTAGACCCCAAGTATGATGGGTCGTTGAAATCAGCTCATCAGGGAGAATCTCAAAATGAAATAATATATAGGGTGTTCGATAGAAAAAAGTTTAACTTCAGTGTTTTATGGTTTTTGGGGACACCCTGTATGTTTCGAAATAATTTTAAATGGTAGCCTATGTTGACATGCAACTTCCTAGAGAGGAAGAATTCCTAGAAGATAAGTGGTTAGCCTTCTAGAGACCGAGGCGTTACTGGTGGCCCACCCTGTATAAGTACGGACATGGAATCCGTTTTTCTGTTCAATGAACATTTTGGAGACATAAAATTACTAAATTTGGAATATCTCGATTTTCCACACCCTATATCTCTGTAATCATTCTCTTCAGGGAGATTCCAAAAATAAAATGAAACACAGGGTGTTTTATTCAAAATACCAAAGTTATTGCTACTTTTCGATGGAAGCGGCAACGCCGCAGCGCTGAAAATATTTCAGGAAGATAGAACAGAACTGATTGCCGAATGAACCTTATTTTTAAAATGATCCTGTTTCCCGTTCTCCCCATCGAGTTTGGGACACCCTGCTTATACAGGGTGTTTCAGGTTTAAAGGCACAAACTGAAATGGGAGATAGATCTCATCATTTCAATCAAAAAAGTTTATATAAACATTAGTCCGATCTCGTTCAGTAACGGAGCTACAGGGGGTCAAAGTTCAATTATTTTTTTCTATTAATTGAAATATCTCCCTTACTTTTCAGAATATCATTTTGAAATTTGTTGTGGTCAATACTTCGTAGAATATCATCATTTCAAGCATTTTGAAGATTTTCTAAATCTACAGGGTGATACGTTTTTGGAGGTAGAGGCTTCTTTATCCCCTTCAAACTTTTTCGTAGTACGCCTCTGGCATCTTCCAGTGATCAAATTGTGTGGATCGTTCAATTTAGAGGCTTTTTTTGCCCTTCAATGTTTTTCGAGAAACGAACTGTTTTTGAGATAAATAAGCATATATGTTCGAAAACATGTTAATTTTGCTTATGTTTCGCTTAAATTGTATTCTTTGACAAAATTCGTTGAAAATGCAACAAAATGTTTTAAGATTGCAATGTTCTTACGCACGTTACTGATCCAGATTGGACTGGTGTTCAATTGGAATTGATACAAGGTGGTCAAAAAATCTTAATTTATAATTTGTTTCAATTAAATGTCAGTTGAAAACCAATTGATAGTGAGTGAAAAGTTGAGATAGGGACATGTAAACCGTTTTGACGAATAATGAACAGTTTCGACAGAAACAAATTCTGAACTTGGAAAATCTCGATTTTGCACAC